ATAGAATATGGGAAGCCACTTCTTGTGCAGTCTTCCATAGCTTAAGGACAAGCCAAGTATGACTTTAAAATGGCCTATTAATATCACTACTTAGTCACAGAGTTTTAATGCAAAATCTTTTAGAAAAATCTTTACTACAGCAGTAGGAATATGTAACTTTTGCTGTTCTTAAAGATTTTAATGGATTTTTAATCTACCGATGGTAGGCTGTAAATTCAAGCTCAAAGGAAACACAAGTGCAACTCAATGGGAAGTTTTATTGGATTGCTTACAGAGAATTATAGTTATGATCAAAAGCTGAGAGCGAACAAAGGCTGAATGCCTCTCTACTCTTTTCAAGTGATTTCAATGCTTCATTTCTTCCTGTGCACCTCCTAAGCTAGAATTTAAAGGAATAAGGCACAAAGGCAGAGTTAGGTAGCACAGGAAGGAAGAAGGAAAAGCAAACTTTTATAAATTCTAGAAGTGACAAAGTGTTCCATGAATAATCAATACTTGGAGATATTTATACCTCGGCAGTAGCAGATTATCTGATGCATTTTCATTCTTTGTAATTACAAATGACAAATCTATTATGTATAGACTGAATGGAGAAATAAGATTGATCAAACAGTATCTATTCGATACTTAAAAGTGAAAAAAAAGAAGATATTATTTCCAAAACTATGGTGATTAACATTTAACATGTAGAAATATGAAAAATGGAGTGTAAATGGGAAAATCATCAGGAAATTGAGGTTTAAAAAAAAATAGAAGAAAGATGTGAACATAGGTCATGGATAACAAACAATGATAACATAGATGACCAGCATCAAAGTCAAGGCCAAAGTTCCCAGGTACTAAGTTTGAATGTCAATCAGCAGGCCATTCAGGGAGCCATAACCATTGCTGAGCAAGGAAGCAACAGAACCAAAGCTGTGACTTAGGAACACTGATGCACTTGCACTATATACAATGGCTTAGAGAAAGGAGAGGCTGGAAGTAGGGAAATGTTAACAAATTGCTGCTCATGAGAGGTGGCAATGACCCACATATTAACTTATATATGTAATTATGGAAAGCTATTTCCAAAAATGTTTTTTTGCAAAATGAAATCCCATTAGCTTCAGTGATCATGTTCGACATGCACTCCACAAGAAACATTATCTATAAGAATAGAAATCCTATCTGAAGTGTGAGGAGTAAAGATTTGTTCCCAGGATGTAGGCTCTCTATTTACCTCTCTTATTGTTTCTTTTGCTGAGAAAAAACTTTTTAGTTTGAGTAAGTCCCATTTGTTGATTCTAGTTATTAACTTTTGTGCTATGGGTGTCCTATTGAGGAATTTGGAGCCCGACCCCACAGTATGTAGATCATAGCCAACTTTTTCTTCTATCAGACGGCGTGTCTCTGATTTGATATCAAGCTCCTTGATCCATTTTGAATTAACTTTTGTGCATGGTGAGAGAAAGGGATTCAGTTTCATTTTGTTGCATATGGATTTCCAGTTTTCCCAGCACCATTTGTTGAAGATGCTATCCTTCCTCCATTGCATGCTTTTAGCCCCTTTATCAAATATAAGGTAGTTGTAGTTTTGTGGATTGGTTTCTGTGTCCTCTATTCTGTACCATTGGTCCACCCGCCTGTTTTGGTACCAGTACCATGCTGTTTTTGTTACTATTGCTCTGTAGTATAGTTTGAAGTCTGGTATCGCTATACCGCCTGATTCACACTTCCTGCTTAGCATTGTTTTTGCTATTCTAGGTCTTTTATTTTTCCATATGAATTTCATGATTGCTTTCTCTATTTCTACAAGAAATGCCATTGGGATTTTGATTGGCATTGCATTAAACCTATAGAGAACTTTTGGTAATATCGCCATTTTGATGATGTTAGTTCTGCCTATCCATGAACAGGGTATATTTTTCCATCTTCTAAGATCTTCTTCTATTTCTCTCTTTAGGGTTCTGTAGTTTTCATTGTATAAGTCTTTCACCTCTTTTGTTAGGAGATAGAGCCCTAATATCCAGAGTATACAAAGAACTCAAAAAATTAGACAATAAGAGAACAAACAACCCAATCAACAAATGGGCCAAGGACCTGAACAGACACTTCTCAGAGGAGGACATACAATCAATCAATAAGTACATGAAAAAATGCTCACCATCTCTAGCAGTCAGAGAAATGCAAATCAAAACCACCCTAAGATACCATCTCACTCCAGTTAGATTGGCAGCCATTATGAAGTCAAACAACAACAAGTGCTGGCGAGGATGTGGGGAAAAGGGTACACTTGTACATTGCTGGTGGGACTGCAAATTGGTGCAGCCAATTTGGAAAGCAGTATGGAGATTTCTTGGAAAGCTGGGAATGGAGCCACCATTTGACCCAGCTATTCCCCTTCTCGGTCTATTCCCTAAAGACCTAAAAAGAGCATGCTACAGGGACACTGCTACATTGATGTTCATAGCAGCACAATTCACAATAGCAAGACTGTGGAACCAACCTAGATGCCCTTCAATAGATGAATGGATAAAAAAAATGTGGCATTTATACACAATGGAGTATTACTCTGCATTAAAAAATGACAAAATCATAGAATTTGCAGGGAAATGGATGGCATTAGAGCAGATTATGCTAAGTGAAGCTAGCCAATCCCTAAAAAACAAATGCCAAATGTCTTCTTTGATATAAGGAGAGTAACTAAGAACAGAGTAGGGTCGAAGAGCATGAGAAGAATTTTAATATTAAACATGGATGAGAGGTGGGAGGGAAAGGTAGAGAGAAGGGAAATTGCATGGAAATGGAAGGAGACTCTCAGAGTTATACAAAAGTACATACAAGAGGAAGTGAGGGGAAAGGGAAAAATAATACAAGGGGGACAAATGAATGTCAGTAGAGGGGGCAGAGAGAGAAGAGGGGAGGGGAGGGGAGGGGAGGGGGGGTAGTAGAGGATAGGAAAGGCAGCAGAACACAACAGACACTAGTATGGCAATATGTAAATCAATGGATGTGTAACTGATGTAATTCTGCAATCTGTATATGGGGTAAAAATGGGAGCTCATAACCCACTTGAATCAAAGTGTGAAATATGATATATCAAGAACTATGTAATGTTTTGAACAGCCAACAATAAAAAATTAAAAAAAAAAAAAAGAATAGAAATCCTAAATTGATTGTCCACTCCAAATCAGCCACCACATCCCATCTCATTTTTGCTACAATAACTTCTTTCCACATGTGTATCAAAGCTTCCTCAAACTCATAAGCAATTATTATGAGTTATCTGAATAGTCTAGGCTTGGGAATGGCTACTAGGATCTGAACTCTTATGCTAGCATAAGAGTTGGCATCCAAAGTCTCTCACTACCTTCCCTCTGCTGAAATATGTGATAAGAGTATAACAGAGATATCTGCCTGTTCTCCAATATTTTGAAGGCCTAAAATCCAGGGACTCATCTATATACCTTATTTGATTTTAAATTCAGATACTTAAAACTCTGTGGAATTCTCCCCAAATCCCAGGAAAGAGCTCTTTCTAATATTCAAATAACAATATTCAGGATATGCAATCTTTAGTTGTGTTGTTGATTTGGTGATTTCAAGTACCATCTCTAACAATGGCTCTGCCAGGGGCATATACTGAGAATGGATAGTCTCCAGAGAATCACTGCAGTAGGAGTTCTCAAGCCTTAGCCAGGATGTCTCCTTTGAACATCCAATTCTTCCCCAACAGAAGTCTAACTCTGCCTTCAAAATGAGATCTTTGTAATCTAGAGAATGCAGCACATCAGAATCCATTATTCCATAAATAGCTGATTTTTTTAATCTCCAGATTCTATTTCTCATCCTTAGTCCCCTCATTTCATTTTTCAAGTAAAGTAATATTGAACTTGCTTTCCTGTTCACCCTATATGTTATTTTCTTCATATAAATTTGTGTGAAGAATCTTATGTATATATGCTGTATAAAATCATGAAATCAAGACTCTGCTCAAATATTAAGACATACTGATACAAATTCCAATACTGAAACACATTCCAAATACTACAGGAACCAATAGCAGATACCCAACAGCTCTTCCAATAGGGTAAGAATGGTTAACAAATGTGTGTTAATTCAAAAGAGGAAATTTAGGCAATGATATATTACCTTTCAAGCCTTTGTTTCCTTTCAAGTAGGCAATGGAAAATTTTTTTTAAAAGCTAACAACTGTTCTAGTCATAATTTTTTTTTAATCAAAAGATGAAAACTTTAGCTGGATATCAAAACAATCAGCATTGAAAATGCAAAGTTGGACCTCAGTTTCAGGAAACCAGGCAGCATTGTGAAAATGCAAAAATACCCAGAAGTTGAACTGGGACAGAATTTATCAAAGAAAGAAGGGCCTAGGCTTTCATTTCCAAAGTCCAGGAGGCCATTTGTAGAATGCAATTCGACAGAGAAGACAGGGATTATCTAGCCTCTGATTCATAAAGTCCTATTAGGAAAAAGAAACCAAAGAATTCATATGAAACTTCCCTTTGGAGAAAGACTCTCTGTTGCCCTTTTCCTATATCACTGGGAATGTGCCAAGATGGGAAAAAGGCAGCTTAGACATTCAAGCCCCAGTGACATTGTTAGTAACATCATGTGACCCTCTAGGTACTATCTGGTCTCTATGGTTCAGAATGTTTGGGGCCATTACTGATAGCAATAGATAGATTCTTAGATAGATAAGATTTTTCTTTAATTGATTTGAGGACCAAAGAATATTTTATACATCACCAAGAAAACTACTCTGGTAATTAAGGTTTGACAAACCATGGACTTAAGATGCATCCTGATTTTATATATTAAAATATGGTAAAATTGGGCTGGAGATATAGCTCAGTTGGTAGAGTGCTTGCCTCACATGCACAAGGCCCTGGGTTCAATCCCCAGCACCACACACACAAAAAAAAGTGTGAAAAAAATATGGTAAAATATATCACAAATCAAAGAGTTACAATGTCACCATTTTTACACAGATTACAGAAACTCCAAGTGGAAAAAAACTGATGACCAGATGAAAACAGAAACAAGTATGGTAGGAAAAACCCTTCCTTTGATTGAGATAAAAGTGAAGAGAGAAGAGAATGAGGATCATGTTCTCTAGAACTGGTATGAATTCTCTTACTCTGCCTATATGAGTGGGATAAGTGGTAGCCATGAGAACAACTTAGGACAAGAATGTCAAAGAAGCTGAAATTGATCTGAGTTGCTTCGTCGTCTGCCCCAAATCCAGGCAAGCTACATAGCTCCAGGCAGTCAGAATCTGACATAGAACATTCATATTTTGCTCCCTTATTGAGTTTGCACTTAGTTTCCAGGATTTTTACTTCAGTTTCTCTGTCATCAGATTTTTAATCTTGGTTGAGAATTTAGACTCCTGGGCCAGTCTGCTGCTTCCACCAAGTCTCCCTGATCATCCTCAAGGTATTATCAGTTTGATTGCTGCTGACTCCCTGCAGAAATTTCCAGCAACAGTGCTCCACCCTGTTCCCCGGAATACTCCCTACTGCCAACAGCAAGATATTCAGTGCCTCACAGAACATTTTCCTTCTGTGAGGTGATTTGATGCCTTTGTGTATGAGCTTCCTTGTATGGCTAAGATCTACTCCCATGTCCTTGTGTGTGATTTTCTCCAACGCTCAATTGTCAACCAAATGTAGTCCCAGTTACAATGAGCCCTCATTCTGTCAGGTACAGATATTTTTAGATACCAAGAGATTAAAAGGAAGGACTAAAGTCTTTCATTTATTTATCTTCTATGCCATATATATGGTAAATAGATGGGTTAGAGGAGAGTCGAAGTATCCAACATCAGGAGAATTTTCAGAGGTTGTGACACTGGGGAGATGGAAGCTCACTCATACAGAACTCAGAACAGGTTCTGTCTGAAGCCAAGATTCCTGGAAAGCTGGGAGAAGTCATTTATAATTAAGGATTATATATAAAACCAATCTGATGAAAGACATTGTTAGTGAGAAGGTACTTTATTATGGTGGAGTTTAGAATTTAGCTTACAAGGTAAAGTTTTTTTCCACCATTTAGTTAAAAATGTTTACATGCATAGGTCTAATATATTAAGATTCATCAATGAAAAGACTGAGACAGGGAAGCTAAGCAACTCAGCCACTTGGAAAGGGTAGAGTTTGTAAGAGCCAGAATTAAACAACAGCTCCTGTGATTCATGGGCTTATGCCTTTCCTACATAGAGTACTGTTGCCAGGACTGCTTTTAAGATTAACAGATAAAATTTATGCTTGGGTTAGGACAAAATACTTTGGATTTTGTTTAATCATTTTTTTTGTTGTTGAATAAATAACAAAAATACTAAAAAAAAAAAAAAAAAAAAAAAAATCGCCTTCGACCTAATAGGAATATAATAGGATAAATACTTGGTACAATGTTTTTTGGACCAGATGAAGTATCTCCTATAGCAATACATCCAATATAGTTCTTTTAATATGGTTGGCATCGAAAAAATGTTGATTTGATAAAATTTTATCTTTATGTAGATTACAAAAATGATCCTTAGTGAAATATATAACTCAAAACATGGCCATCAAAATTATGACTTATCAAAATATTGCTCTTAAAATCAGAGATATATCCTTCTGCTTTATAATTCCAAATTTAAAGTGTTTATCAATTGATAAACAATGAGAAGAAAAGACTGACATTTAACATGGAAACGAACCATGTCATTCTTGGGTTCAAATGGAACTTTACCAGTTTTTAATTGTAAATGAACTCACACTCTGCTAGACTTCTGTGATCCCTCATCATACCCAGCAACTGTCTTTCATTCATCTTCTCTACCCTCCAGAGTCTTGCTCCAAGGCAAAGGAACACAGGTACTGCTAAACCCTATCCCATAGATGAGATCATGTCTATGCCATTATCTGGTGTTCCTCCTGCCATTTATTTCATTTTACTTATTTCTTTATGTATGTCTCTGAAAGAAAAATAAATAAAGGCATACAGAATAAAAGTATGAAACACATTATTAATGTAGGCTAAAATAATGTACATTTAACAAAATCCAGCTCTGGTTTTAAAAAAGATTGAAAGCACACCACAGCTTAAAGCCAAAGAAGGGTGCACACACAAAAATCTACAGCTCCATATATCCAAGCAATGACAACACTAAAATCCCCCAAACAAACAAACAAACAAACAAAAGCAGAACCTGCAGGAAGACATTAGGAAGCAGAATGTAATTACCCGATTTGGAAACTGACCAGGACACTGTGGTTAAAATGCGTCTTGCTACAAAGGTTCTGAGGAATCTTTAATGACTACAAATGGTCAGGAACTCATGTCCACACTTCATCTGAGAGACGATGACAACCAGCAGTAAGTCCTCTGTGCCACTAACCCGGGAACTGGGCCGATTCTGACCAAGAGAATAAAGGGCCACCTACAGAAATTGCAGCAACATTTGCTACCCTTGGCTAGTTTTGCAAGATAGTCTGCATGAAGCAACTTTCTTAAATATCTCAAGTATCACTGCCACATCTTAATGTAAATATGTAGTGATATCATTCCTCATTTCTAAAAAGAATTATAACCAATGCTTCTGCAATCTCCTTGAGTAAAAATTATTAAATCCCAGTCTTTGGCTAATTTTGAGTAATGAATGTGCTGGTATCAGTGAGGCATAAGATGGCCATTGTTTAATCTATGTATGCTTACTATCAAACTAACTTATTTTTGCCTTTTATATTTTTTAAGAAACTGACTCCAGTGCAGTAATTAAAATACATTACAGTTGTGCAAGTGAAATTTGGAAAACTGCCAACGTTTTCAAGAACTTATAATTTTCTTTTTCAGAGGAAAAAGTAGTTTTGACATCTTTGTGCAAAACAATCACTAACAGTTACTTACAATTTCAGGAAAATCACTGTTTTAATCATGACCTTTCAGCTGTCCTTGATTGAAAAAAAATTGGCCACCTACAGAAATAATTCTGTTGGGCCCTCATCTCTCTACTGATTGATGGCCTCATGTGGCTCTACATGTTCACAATTATAAATAAAACTATATAAATGTGGCAGAGCTTAGCTTCCCTCTAACTGGATAATAATAAAACAGTTCTAATTGACAATAAAAGGGATTTTCTTTAAGTGACATCTTTGCCATGTACCTGTATCAAAATCAAATGGTACATTTTTCTCTGATTAAATGTGTATTCTTTTGGTCACCATTCATTCCAACCATTAATTTAGCATCCATTGTGTAAAGGGCACGGTATTACACTCTGTTGGGGGTGATGGGATGTGGATAAAACAGCTTCTGAATTTAGAGAACCTACTATCTGATGCAGTACTCAACCAGCTAACATATAATAAATATGGAACCCATATTTACGTCTGCATGTGTATGCATATGAATAAAAACTAGGTTTGGATAAATATATTGCTATAAGAATATATACTTATACTTATGAACAACATATCAACATATATTTGGATTTATGTGAATACATGTATGTCACACCAGAAGTCTTTTTATGAAAATATTTGAAGTCCTAACATGTTAGTACATGAGTTTTCAATGGAAATGAAACAAAGCCTCATTCTACTAGTTAAAGGTTTCCCACCTACTGTACAAGCAACAAAAATAGAACTGGCATTCAGGACTCCATTAGAAGTTTATTGAAGCTCTGTGAGATTTGAAAGCTTTTAGGAGTTCAACATAAATCATTCAATATACCAAAAAAAAAAAAAAAAGACTTAAAAAGATTTCCCCTTTGTATTCAATTTCTATGAGTGATCTCCAATTTACAGCCTTATGCTCGACCCAGAAATTGAATTAATCAATACAATTATCTTTTAGAAATCCCTTTTGTCAACTGCAGTAGTCCGTGGACAAGAAAGGAAGAATGAGAATTCTTGAATTGTAATCTGGGTGGCAAGATGCAGCAATACTGAAGGACTGACATTAGAAATGGGTACAGTACAGGCTTCAATGCTGTTTTGAAGGATTACAAAAACTAAGTGATCCTTTTCCCAAAACCAAAAATCAATTATCCACTAATTGTAGTCTAAAATAAACTATTTCACAGAAAACAATACTAGAAAAATATTTATAGGATCAATTTTTGATCTGAATAATATATAGGATTTGCATTTACAATGGCATGATAAAATAACTTTGTACAAAAGATCAGTACCATTGAGTTAATATTCCTGTTCATTATGATACTGTCAAGTACCTTACTGAAATATTTATAGATGATGGATACTAATGAAAACATTATCCCATGGAAATCTATGCTAAGTCTTTTATTTTGAATAAATTAACTTGTATTTTTGGAAATCATCAAATTATTCATAATAATCAACTTTAAAAATTTCAGCTCACTCTGTTTCTGAAATTTTTTAGTAATATTCAAACCAGAGAAAGGTGAAACAATTCCTCAGCTACTTTAGGATCCAAGAATACTTTCATATGACATGGTCAAGTAATTAGAAAAAAAAGTTTTTTATATTAATTAGTCTTATAATGCATATTTCCTTTGTTCATGTAAACATCTTTCACAAATTTAACATTAAAAATGGAAAAGATCTCAATATCCCTACCTACTTCATTAAAAACAGTTATTCAATTTAAAAATGGAAGCTTGGGACCTAAGTGACTCAAAGAGATATCTATCTAATCTATACTCATCAAGTCTAAACCCAATGATTGCCCAAATCTCCTCTTATGGAACTAAGAGTTGACAAGAATATATAGAATTTTTTGAACTTGACAAATCTGAAAATTCTTGCTAAAAAGAATTAAACTAACCAACAACTTCAATCAACTAGTAAAGGCACTGATGTTAAGGATTTACAACCTAATACTAATAGGAAATATCCTGGAACACATACAGTTTTTCTATTTGCTTGTATATTCTGCATACATAAAACTACTAATAAGTATTTATTTGGTTTGTGCCCAGATTTGTGCTACCTGCTGTGAAGCACATGGTCCTTATACATAAAGCATTTGAAGATCAAGTTTTGATCCAAATAATATATAGAAATCACATTTACAATGGTATGATAAAATAACTTTGTACAAAATGAGAGTAATATTGAGTTAATATTCCTGTTCATTATCATACTGTAAAGTACCTTATTGAAATAACACTCCATGGAAAGTGTTATTTAACATTTTCTAAATGGAGAAATAGGTGGTAGAGGAGATAAAGGTAAGTTTTTATTTAAAAAGGGTTTATCATGTAAAGAACCGACACACTTTATATTTTATTATAATCTTCAACCAAACTTTTCCCTCTCTTATGGCTTAAATGTCACACTCTGCTTTATAAGCAAACTTTAGGATACAAAGAAATAAATAAGTTAATGGAATTTTACTCTGTTGAAGTTGAAAACATACTGCTTCTTACAGAAAATATTCTGATTAACAATTGTGGTTTAAATGAATGACCTTTTCCACTTGGATAATTATTTTTTCTTTGCAAGCAGACCTTTGGGATGTGATAGCTACAGTTTGAATCTTTTTTTTAAATTATTTTTTGTTCTTTTTAGTAATACATGACAGTAGAATGTATTTTGAAATATCATATAGACATGGAGTATAACTTTCCATTCTTGTGGTTGTGTATGATGTGGAGTTACACTGGTGTGTACTCCTATATGAACATAGGAAAGTTATGTCCGGTTCATCCTGTCTTTCCTGTTCTCATCCCCTATGCACATGCTCCCTTCTCTTCATTGCCCTTTGTCTAATCCAATGAAATTCTGTTATTCCTCCTTACCCTCCTTATTGTGCATTAGCATCCACATATCAGAGAGAACATTCACCCTTTGGTTTTTCAGAATTGGTTTATTTCTACAGTTTGAATCTTAAGCATCACCCAAAGTTTCATGTAGTAAAGGTGTGGTCCCCAGCTTGGCACCATTGGGAGCTGGTGGAACCTTAAAGAGGTGGAGCCAAGGGACTGGGGTTGTGGCTCAGTGGTAGAGCACTTGCCTTGCATGTGTGAGGCCCCTGGGTTAGATCCTCAGCACCATATATAAATAAACAAATAAAATAAAGGTCTCGTGTCCATCTACAACTAAAAACAATATTCCTCCCGCCCCCCAAAAAGAGGTGGAGCCTAGTGTAAGGTCTTGAGTTCATTGGAGGTTGAAGGGGATGGTGAGATCCTAAGCTCCTCCCCCTTTTTCTCTTCACTTGTTTGCCATGAGCTGAGGGGTTTTGGTCCTTTGTGCACTCCCCTACAGCCCAAGCTGTCCTAAAAGCAATAGGTCTTCCTGATAATGGACTGGAACCTCCAAACCTACGAGACAAACAAACCTCTTCATAAGTTTATTACCTCAGTATCTATTACATTAGCAGAAAGATGACTGGCCCAGCCGTACCCATGCTACAACCTCATTTTCACAAAATACAGATACAGTCTGTAGTTGTTTATCTGGCTCTCTCTACTTGTCAGGTTTTTTTTTTTTTTTTTTTTTTTTTGTGGGGGGTGTTCTTGGATCTTTTATTTTGGACATTAATAAAAACTTCTAAATCCATGTGAACTCACTGGGAGCTCCATGAGGGCAGAGTCTCTGTCTTTTCTGCTTAGCATTGGGACCTCAGCATAAGGATGTATGAAATAATACCACCATATGTTTATGTCCTCATTCCAGGTATAGCCTTTCTCATTTGGGTCCCAAGGAACCAGAGGGAGTAATCCTGTGCTTTGACATATGGAAAATCACTGTTGCCACTAAAAATTTTGAATGTTTCCAACATTTCTCATTTAAGGAGAAGGAAGGCTCCTAAGAGGAAGAGACTTTAAATGCTAATTCAGTCACCCTGAACTCTGACTCTCACAGGGCAAATCCACAGTGGAGAAGGTGGGGTGGGATGGGAATAAGAGAAAGCCTTTATGTTTAGGCTCGAAGCAAAAAGAGGTCTTTTGGCCTGCTGCCCTCATGGCATTCAGTGAAACAGCAGCCTGCTCACATCCATGGCAAACTGAAATACAGAGAGAAGAATGCAGCCATGCCTGCACAGAGGGTCAAGGTCAGAGAAGCTGTGCTGTCCCCTCTTCATCCCAATGCTATGAGTTAGCTGTGGGACAACATTGATGGCCTGATGAGCTCCCACTGAGGACTGCAGTGAGGGGATCCCGACCTGAGCCCCAGCACGGCTGTTATGACTGAGGTCACACAAGACGCCAGCAGGGACAAATGCTATGACTGGAGACTGTGCTAGGACTATGTTACAACTCATCTGCCCCAGAGCAAGATAGGTGAGGGCTGAAAAGTAGACAGCACTTCTCACCTTCCCTCTCATCCTTGAGCAGTTAAGCATATCAATATCCATGTTCCAGCACCAAAATGTCGGAGTAATTACTTCCTGACCCACAATTAAAGCATGCTGCAATTTTCAGTCATAACAGCCAATTCTCTCTGAGTCATACATTGAACCAATTAAACTTAGAATCTCTATGTCTGAACGGATGACTTCTAATGAAAAGGGTGAAAGCTCCTGCCCTGCACATCCAATCATATCTCTGTTTGGTAAATCAGGGGGAGAAGTTCAACTGAATGGCTTGGAAAAGAGCCCATCCCAGCAGATTGTGCTGGGTAGAAATAACACTAGTCTGTCTAGGTAAGATCAGTGCCAATGGTTCCAACTAAAATTAGAAAAAAGGAGACAGTACCTTGGCTCATGCTTATGTTGGAGACAAGACTCTAACTCCTGCTAAAGCCAAATGATGGCAATTCAATTCCTGCCTGCCAGTTGCAAATCCCTACACTACCACTGCTGCACTATCGAAAGACACTTGCAATCCAGTGCATCTAACAAGAGAGGTGATTTCTTAGATTAGTCACTTTGTGGGTTACAGCTCCAATGCTGGTAAGTCAAAGGTATGCATGCATTTTTTTCTAAGAGGTCATTTCTAAACTATAGGCAGATAGCTGAGAAAAAAATAATCAATAGATCATTATTAATTTAACATCAAGAAAGGATATTATGCATTTATTAATTTTAGAATGTAAAGCCAAAACACCAACAAAATCCAAGGAATAAATGACCCCACTCCTTTAAAAAACATCATCAAAAGTCCCACAACACTTTTACTGCATTTCAATAAATACAGTTTTGCTCTAATCTCATATGTGTCATGAGGCACCATGCCATGGTGGAAAGAAAACTGGGCCAGGAATCAGGATACTTTGTCTGGCTCTGTCACTTATTAACTGTGTAAAATGACATAAAAATTTAACCTCTCTAGGTTTTGGTTTCTTGTCTACGAAATCAGTGACTTAGATAAGCATTATCCCAGGTTTTAGATTCTGCATTGCTCCATCATTAGTGATTTAATTTTAAATTGGGTATGATGTTTAAGACACATATTGAGTGCAAGGCTTTCATAAATTCTGGGTATGGTAGTCAAATATACATACATATATTAAGGACAAAGGACTCTGATTCTCTGATTCTAATGTGAAAGAATTAGTTTTTTGAAAAAATTTGATCCACTCTGCCATAGCAATACAAATGCTCCCAAATATGAGCAATATTCAGATGTCTTTGCAAATACTAAAACCTTTTGGGCAAAGCCATATAAAGACTCTGACATCATACAAATTATTCTTTGGAGGAAAGCATGCACTGTTTCTTCGCAGAAGGAATGCTTCACTAATGTCCCTGAGTAATTCAGGTGCTGGATGAGACAATACACTCAGAAGATTCACCCCAAGGTCTCTGCTACATTTAAAAACTATCTTCATTCTACCTAAGTAAGGTAATTTTACTATTGCCCCTATCACCACCTTTGAGATTCTCAAACAATCCACGGAATTTTATTCAAATCATCCTTAGGCTCAAATTGCTAATTGGAATTTCAGTGGTGTGCCAAAACTGGTTGCTGCTCAATCCTTTGGATTTGCTCTTTTCCACTGGTACCCTACTGGAGAACTGGACCTCGAGGCTACCTGGTTAGTGCTGTACTATCAGAGAACCATCTGAATGAAAGATAATTCAGAACATGAACATGATCAATGAGATAACCTCTCCCCTGTCTGCTGGCTGCTGGAGTTATGGTTTTACTTCTGATGCTAACTCTGTGATTCTGGGCAAGTCCCACAATTTTTCTGTTAAATGCTATTGATACTGACACTTCTTGAGTATGTGCACTGTAAAAATTATATATTACCACGTCTGGCGAAATGTTTCCACTCCATATTGTGCACTAGTATGGAAAGAAAAATTTATATTTTATCCTATTTTAAGTCTCAGACCCCTTGAATAACTGATGGATTCAGTTAATTTGTGTCCTTCCCTTTTGGGGGAAAAAGTACACCTGAATAATCTTATACATAGAAATTTCATGCAATTTTAGGGAGTTCCCTGACACTAGTAGGAGGTTCATGAACTGAACTCAAGTGAACACCATGATCTACAATATAAATCCTTTGTCTATAATTTACTAGAATATGAATTTGTATTCTGACCATGAGTTTCCTCATCTATAAAAGACATGTAGAAAACAAGTAATCTGAGTTTCCTTATCTATAACATATAGGTCAACTTCTGTGCCTACAATCTGATAACTATTCTGAAAATGAAAGTTTTTAACCATTAATTTATGTGAAAACAAGTTTGTGGTACAAAGAACTCTGTGCAACTCAAAATTGCTATTGATCCTTTACCCTCCTTCTTTAATGTTGTCAGAAAGTACTAATGAGTGCGATCCCCACATCACCGGTTCCATCAAGATATGGGAGGTGTGAATCCTGACCTTGCTTCTAACTTCATCTGATTCTAAAATTGACTGTACCCCTTATTTCCTAGAAAGCTTCTGTTTGATTACTGATATCTTTACACATGGCCATGAAGTCAATACTTTAGCTCTGCTTTCCCTCATGGAAATATTTTTTTTTTTTTAACTTGGGGTTTTACATTGACCAGGATACACTTGGTTCTTCATTGGCACTAAATCTTGATTTTCCCATGAATGATTCTTAAAACTATTGTTTTTGGGCTTTACACACCACATCCCTGCTCTCCTCCATTGGTGTGAATAATGAGAAACCATCTTGCTAAGATCCTTATTCCTATTTTATTGGAAAATAGACTAGCAAAATATAAAAGTATAGTAAGTACCCTCGAGGCTTACACAGTGTGTGACAGAGACAGTTAACAGAATAAGACCCAGTTCACAATGGTATATATCTGCCACACTATTGCATTTTTTTTTCTTCCTAAAGTCTAGAGATAGCACCTTCATGTATATAAGAAACTATCTCCTTTATGATAATATAGATAATACATGCATATATCTTACTTAAGGCATACATTTTAATTTTTACTTTTTAATTTAACATTCCATTTTGCAATAATTTCAAACTTAACAAAAAAATTCAAAAATAGTATAACGAGCTCCCACATATCCTTCACCCAGCTTCCCCTCACATTAACATTTTATAGATCAAAGCCAAGGGATCCATGCTGGTACCATACTATTAGCTGATCTAAACTCTTGCTGAAATTTTGGTAACTGTCCCACTGATGTCCTTTTCCTGGATCATATTTTGTTGTCATCTTAGTCTCTTTCCATCTGAGATAACTGTTCAGTCTTTCTTTGTTTTTCATGACCTTTAAAATTTTTAAGAGTACTATCCAGTTATTTGTAGTATGTCCTTCAATTTGGGTTGTCTAGTACTTCTCATGCAAATGCATGTTATGCATTTTTAATAAGAACATGACAGATATTAGTTTTTATTCCTTTCTCAGTGGATTATCTGAAAGACACATGATGCTGATATATCTCATTACTGGTAATGTTAACTTTGATCATGTTTTAGCTTGTGTCTGCTAGGTTTTCTTATGAAGTTACTACTTTCCCTTTTGTAACTAGTAATTATTTTCACAGAAGATATTCTGACTTTATGTAAATATATTTATTATATTTTTATCCACTAATTTAGCATTCATTTGATGATTCTTACCTGAAACAATTACTAATTTAGTAGTAAACCAAACAATAATTCTTCTATTTCCATCATTTCTTCTATATTTATAAAGAGGTATTTTACTATTTAAAAAGAACTTTCCTTTATCTCTCATTTATTGATTCATTTTTCATAATACTATGGGCTGTATTGAATATAATCCATTACTAGCATTATTTTCTTGCTCAAATGTCCCAGATTTGGCAATTGGGAACCACTTCAAGTTGGCTCCTGTATTCCTTCAACATGTTTCTATCAGCTTTTATGTCCTTCCTTTCTTTTTGGCACCACAAGATGTTCCATCTTCTCAGCATGTACTCTTCTGGCTCAAGCCTTGGAATCATCCGTTTCTACAAGAATTCTTGGTTTCTTTTAATGGTGAATGGTATTTAGAAACCAAGATCTAGGTACCAGGTATGCTCATCATTATTGGGTTGTAATTGCTTCTAGGCCTTCTCAAAAGATAGAGTTAGAAATATATAGATGCATACACATGTAGCCCTATTTCTTTATTGGTGAATCGGTGTACCTGTGATATATACTTTTTTTTTCTTATTAATAACTCAAACCCTACAAGTGAACTTGTAGGGTTCACTCTAGTCATTTTTCCTCCTTGAACATTGAGAAACATGACTCTCATTTTCTTCAACCCAGGGATACACTGGAAACACTTTGAGAAATGCTAAATCTCACATCTGTATAAAGAAGAATCATTAACACATATTTTATGAGAAACAAATATTCTAATTAGAGTAAAACAATTATTTTTGTTTGTTTGTTTGTTTATTTTTTCCTTAATCTAGAATCAAAAGTACAATCACTGGTAAAGTTACTTGAGTTACTTCTTTTTTTCTCACCTCTTTCCTTTGTAATTTCTATGAATACAGTGAAGTTTGCATGAGTGTGTATCTCACATGGGGATCTCTAAACACTCCAGTTCATTTTATATGTTTTTTGATTATGACAAACATTTACACAATTCTATAAAGCAGAATTAAGCAAAAATAAATAAATAAATAAACTTTAAAAATACATCCAGCTAATTGTGATTCTCCATCATCTTTCCTATCTTATTTCCATTCTCTCCATTCCCATTTTCTAGGCCCAACCCTTGCCATCATCAACTTCATGAATATAGTTTATTTTTTTTGCTTCTGAAGCACGTACGTGTGTATATTTATCATATGTATGTATATATATATATATGTATGCATATGTGTGTATATTTTTTTTCACTTTTCTCTTTTTTTCACTTAATATAGCACCAAAATAATTAAATCTGTTTTGTTTTTCTTTTTCTCACTGCTTGCAAAAATGCCATAATGTATTCAGCTATTCCTCTCAACAAGAAGATTGGGATAGTTCTTAATAGTTTACAATTATAAACAATGCCACAAATGAATAACCTAGGGCTTATAATTTTCATCTTGTTGAA